GATCGGTGATGAGTTCGCCTGTAGAGCCCTCCCTTGCAAGTCTTCTTCCTGCTCCGCTTGCGTGAGAGGCTCGACAGCCTTGGACGCACCCTCAGGCTGTTGGTTACTTCTCTCAGTCTCCCCGACTGGGATTGGAACGTCGATGGCGTTCCTACTCAGCGTTCCGTTTAAGACTTGCGTCCCGGATTGAGTCTGTACTTCGTCTAAAATCGGCACTTGCAAGTCAGGCGTCTCTTCCTCACTGTCGTTGAGAAGGTCCGCCATCCGGATGGCGCTAATAACACCGGCATCCGGTCGGTGATACAGTCTCGACAAACCATCAGCGTGTCCCATCGACGCTTCAGGCTTGTGGTATATCTTAAACCTTAGCTGCGACAGCTCCATGACCCATCGTGCCAACTTGGCGTTCGACGTTCTTGTTGTCTCGCCGAAGATCCACGTGAGAGCTTATGGTCTGTGTACAGATCGAATTCCGTGTGACTTAGATAACACCGGAACTTGCGTATCGACCATACGATTCCCCAGCACTCAATTTCTGTCGTTCCACTAGTCTTTTTAACCTAGTTCCGTTGTGACCCGAACAGCATCTTGCTCGCATACGCGATCGCTCTGTCTCTCTTGTCGACCGCTTGCATCAGACAGGCTCCCACTGCTAAGTGTGACGAAGCCACGTAAAGGTTGAACCTTTTCCTCAAGTCCGGATACACCAGTATTGATGGTTTCACTAGTGCTTGTTGTATTTGTCGGAACGCGCCCTCTCAGTCGTCGTTCCATCTAAAATCGACGTCCTTCTGCTTCAAGCGTTTCAGCGGCGCAGAAATCGCAGCGAATCCCGGTATGTAGCGTCGAAAGTAGCAGACCCAGAAATGCTCTAACCGTGTGCAAGTCATGTGGCCTTTCGATGTTCACCACCGCTTTCGCCGTCTCAGGGTTCGGTAGTATTCCAGTCGGAGTTACAATATTCCCTAGGAACGACACTTGGTCACGTCCCCAATGTCATTTCTTCATTTTCAACTTGAACCCTGCCGCTCGGAAACGTTCCAGAACTTGACGTACCCGAATCAAATGGGTCGGAAAGTCGTCACTGAAGACAACACAATCGTCTAGGTAGACGAGACACGCCCTCCACTTGAGATCAACGAGAACGTTCTCCATCAGACGCTCAAATGCAGGCACAGCGTTACACAAACCAAACGGCACAACCAACCACTCGTAAAGGCCGAATTTGCTCGTGAAAGCCGTCTTCTCCATGCTGTCGAGATCCATTGGAACGTTCCAATATCCCGAAGCGATGTCCATCGTGGAGAAAGCTTCGCGCTCCCCAGAACGTCCAGGATGTCGTCGATTAAAGGCATTGGGTAACTGTCCTTCACGGTCACTGCGTTTAGTTTCCGATGGTTGATGCAAAATCTTACGCTACCATCAGGCTTCTGTATCATCAACACTGGACTGAACCATGGGCTCGTCGAAGGTTTGATAAGTCCGAGATCCACATACCCTTGAATTTTGCCCTCCAAGACGTCCCCTTCGGCTTTCGACACTCTGTACGGAGGCTGTTGGACAGGCGCGTGATCTCCGGTGTCGATATTGATCGTAGCAGGTTCGTCCTTCCTGATTTCGTAGAAGTTTCGACGAATAAGTCTCTCAGGTCCTTCAACATCTTCGCGAAGAGACCCTTCTGTTCTGCTCCAAGAGACATGTCTTCAAAGTCCACTTCGAAGTCGTCTTCCCCGTTGTCGTCCATGGCGGCACTCATCTCAGTCTCTATCGTTCCAACTTCGGTCGTCACGTTTTCTTTCACCGTACTCAGCACTGCGCTTATGTTCCTCGTCGTTCCACCTGGCTTAGAAATCCTGGTAGTGAACGCAGACTTGGGGACGACAATAACAGCAGCGACGTACGCACCGACTTGATCTTAACTTCTTCCGCGGAAGCATTACACACCTCGACCAACACCCTTCCATCCGTCACGGTACACAACGTCCTTGCGACTCTCAAAGATACGTCCGTTCCTGGAACGCCCTCGACCAACACAACTGAGTGGTCCTTCATCGTTCCACGAGCGCTCGATCTCACCAAGGCCTGACTTCCGGGCTCCAGACGCACCGTCAACGATATCGTAGCTGCGTAGGTTTCTTCTGCTCTTGTCGCACCCAACGCGATCACGCCTCCCGTCTCCTTCAGTGTCATCGATTGCTCCTCGAGGGCGATCACCGCGCAGAACGTCCTCAGCCCGTCCGTTCCGAGAATTGCTTCTACAAACAAATGATCAGTCACGACGAAATAAAGCGTTTTCTCCAGCGTTCCAGCGTGACGGGCAAGTCGATAACTCCACTAACGCGAATCTTGTGTCCCGAGACGCTATCCAAGCTCCCAGTATAAGGTCTTAGAGGTTCGGAGGCTCGACCGAGACGCTTCAGCACGCGTTTGTCGACAAGCCTAACGACCGCACCTGTGTCTGCCAGCATTTCGGAAGGGCAACAGCCGTCCGACAACGCTTGCACACCTCCAACGCTGCAGATGACACGCTTGCCATCTGGAACGACACTTCCACTGTCGGCAAAGGCATCATCGCCGCTCACTTCGCGCAACCCAGGGCTTCTTCGCAGCTTAAGAGATCTTCTCATGTTTAGGAAATAGACATCGGGCTCCTCTTCCGCTATTTTGGGATCTTCGTCCTCGATAGTCACACCGAAAGTCACCCTCTTCCTAGAACTTGTCCCAACGATCGCAGCCACTATTTTCAACGTATCGTCTCGTCTGTCGCACAACTTGTCGCGAATAACAGAATCTTCAGTCCCGAAATAGTCTCGTGCCCAGGTCAACGCTCGATTTTGGAGCGTCCCAGTCAGCGCTCCACCCCCTTCAACGAGGTATTCTCGGAACGAGTCCTCGTCCAATAAAGCTCTGTTCTCTTTGTCGCGCAAAGAAGGGATGTCGTCTTCAGCATCACAGTTCCTCTCGCTCTCAGGAACGTCGAATTGGCGACCCTTCGTAGCGTTCTGCGCTTGTTTGAGGCGCTCGTACACTCGGCTACGAATTATGGAACGCCATCAAAATGGTAACGTTCCCGTCTCCTCTGCAGGGAGTTCCGAGATTGGCTCAACGTCCTCTTCGACTCCAACACAAACGTTCTGTATGAACTCGTTCTCCAGTGTGTCTTCAGACATCTCCGTACAACCCTTACGCTTGTCCTCGTCCGTCGTAACGGAATCAACGACCGTCGTCGACTTCTCTTTTGTTGCTCCGACATCCTTGAAGTCTCGATTGGCACGCTTCGCTTCAGTCGACGTCTCTAGCGTGTGAGCGTACCAGTCCAGCCATTACTCTGGCGTTCCGAGATCTCCTGATGAGACCTCCCGGGTACGTTCCAGCACCTCTTCCGGTATCCCAAGCTCGGCGCTCATTTCAGCGAGTGTCGGCCTCCCTTGTTCATCCGCGTTCCGCTTGGCACGTAGCAGAACCTCTTCTTTGTTCATCGGGAACGCTCGTTCTTCCAGTTCCTTTTCGTACTCCTCGGGCTCATTCTTCACTACCTCGTCGGTAAACAGGCGTTCGTAGTGCTGCGTCGAATCCTTCCCCTCAGTACGTTCTTCGTCCTCCTCGGCCTTCTGAGCTTCTGTCCTTTTACGACCAGTGCTCACTGGTCCAATGACAGCCGAGAACTGACTTGACCTGGCGCCAGATGCGTCCTCCGTGATCGTTTCGAGTGCTCCTTCGTACTGCTTGGAGCGGGTGGACAGCATCTTCACCTCCTCACTCTCTTGGCACTTCGCTTGGGCGTCCAACGTAGCCTCGGGGCGTTCTCTTGCTCTCTTACTGACGTCTTTCACCAACTTGGTGCGTTCCGTTGTTCCGTTTTCCCAGTTTAGCTTCGCCGAGGAACGTCCCGTTGTTTCCTCAGCGACCACTCTCTCTCGTACGGGCCTCTCAATAGAGTCCTATATCTCTCGACACTCGTTCTTGGCGTCTGACGCAGTCTCGGGGCGCTCCGTTGCTCCCTTACTCACGTCCTCTACCAACCCTTCTTTCGTTTTCCCAGTTCAGCGTCGCAGAGGAACGTTCCGTTGTTACCTCAGCGACCACTCCGTCTCGTGCGGGCCTCTCCGTAGAGCCCTCAATATTCTCGTCTCATTCTAGCCCAGTCCGTTCCGTTGGACTGCTCTCGCTGCTCGTTCCACTTTTAGTTTCCACAATTTCCATCTTTACGCTCGTGACAGGAACGTCACGTGCGCCTTCATCGTTCATCACACCTCTCCTGAGAGCCCCCTGAGGTCCACTCGCCAAGTCTTGTCGTGGTGAACCCTCATCTCTCTTCGTGTCGCCAACCAGGCAAGAGGAAGGAGCGACACTTCCTTCCCCTTCCTTCCGCCCCTTTATTGTTGGGACGTACCAGCGGGTGCAGTCACGCTCCCGGCGGCGACGCTCTGCATCAGTCCTCGCAAAGTATCGAGGCTCGGGCATCGTAACGGGGGGGGGTTAAAAGTAATATTTATTACTATTAGAATAGTTTGCAGTTCTCGTAAAAACTCAAATCCATGTTTCGTCGTTCACAGAGTGACGTATCAAATTCATTAGGCACCCGATTTAACTACATATACAGTACCCGTGCTGACCTCTCATCATACGCACTCTCGACCGATGCTTGTCTGGCTTGCGTTATCGTGTAAATGACTCCGCCGACCAAGGCTTTAAGCGGGAGTGCATCTCCACCTTCGATCTGGATTTCTGCGCCTACGTAGTGCATTTATTTGCGGACTTCAAGCCCGCTCCTGTATATAGCGGGAAGAGAAGCTTGGATCGCGCTACAACTTGCAGCGCAAGCTGTCCTTGTTCCAGACGGAGATTTGATGTGCAGGTGCTGAGACTTGCGTTCAATATGTCAAATCAGATTAGCTCCGTGTCTGTGCAGCGCTACGTTTGATGATCTTTGAGTAGGGCTCCTCCCAATCGAAGCGTCATTCCTCAAGCTCCTGCGTCGCGCGCACATCGAACCCTCCATGCGCGCTCTAACCGGACTTTATTTGTCCACGGCCTGCTGCCTATTCGGCCAAACACTCGCTTGGGATCAAAAACCCGACGGCTACGAGGTGATCGACGGTCCCGATGGCCCCGAGTCCGTGGACGCATGGCGTCGTAACTGGACCGCCTGGAAGAAAATGGAGCTGATCACCAACCGGTACAACCCGAACGACTCGTTCAACGTGTACAACATCCAGCAAACTCAATGGACGCAGCAGAATTCCGTGCAGACGTTTATTATGATGAACGACCGCTCCATCTACGATCGCGAGACCAAGCAATACACGGTCGACAAGGACGTGGATGAGATGCAGAGTCGTGTTGGCCCCATTGACAGTGTGTTGATCTGGCCTGCATACCCGAACATCGGTGTGGACAACCGGAGCCAATGGGATCTCCTACGAGACCTCCCCGGTGGAGTCGAGGGCGTCAAGGGCGTCATCGCTGACTTCCATCGTCGAGGTGTCCGTGTGATCATCCCGTACAATCCATGGGATATTGGAACTCGTGACGAGTCTGGACTGGTAGAAATGGTACGCATGTACAACGCCGACATCACGACACTAACGGAGACGACCCCTGAGCTACTAGCGGACGGCTTCAACGGTGACACCATGTACGGCGTTCCCAAGTCCTTCTACAACTGTAGTAACCCTTTAGTGGCAGCTCCCGAAGGTGGTGTACCCACTGCATATCTGAGCCATAACCCGATGAGTTGGGGGTACTTCTTCGGGTATTCTCATTTCCCACCCGTGGCACGTGCCAAGTTCCTGGAGTCGAGACATATGGTGCAGATCTGTGCGCGTTGGTCTCTCGATCGAACCGCCGAGTTGCTGACTGCTTTCTTCAATGGCGCCGGGTACGTGGTGTGGGAGAATGTATGGGGTACCTGGAATGCCATGACCGAGCGTGAAGATGAGACTGCCAAGAGAATGTTTGCCATTCTACGCAAGTTTGGAACTATCGTCTCGACGGGTGCATGGACTCCGTACTACGCCATGAAGAGCGATGGGCTGTTCGCTAGTGCTTTCACTCTGAGCAGTGAGTCGCTTTACACGGTGATCAGTACTGTGCAGAAAGACATGACGTACGAAGTGCCACTCCTTGCTGACCAGGCTGGCGAAGATGTTCGCATCTACGCGTTTATCATGGAGTCGAGCTGAAGAAACGAACGGTACTGTCGTGAAGGTAACTGGAGCCTCGTGCGCTTGGTGCAATCTATGGCACAAAAACCGGCAACGACGTGACCCAGTTTCTCAACGAGATGCAAGCAATGACCACCAAACCCCTAACTAAATACTCGACGGCAAGGAAATTGCTGCAACAGCAGCTTATCCGCAGTAGCAGTAGCAATACCTCGACGTCCTCGGAAAGCTCTCGACGGTATGGTGCGTGTGTCTGGAGCTGCCAACTGGTGGTTCAATGTCAGTGGCGTGCAGATCGAACCCGTGTCGGCCTGGACTCCGAATTTCGCTCAATACGGAACGGGAGTGCAGTTTCCCTGGGAGAATCGTCCATGGAACAACCACTCGACGAGGCTGTTGGTCCAGGATTTTCTGATCGATAAGCGTCCTGTGACCAACGCTCAATATTCGGCCTTCCTCAAGGCCAGTGGCTACAGTTTTAATTCGCTGGACCGCTTTTTGCTGCACTGGGAGAACCGTCAAGGTGCTCCAGCGTCGTGGACTGTGTCTCCTTCCTTGGCACATAGCCCTGTTGTGAATGTTGCTCTAGAGAACGCTCAAGCGTATGCCAAATTTTACAGTAAGCGTCTTCCCCATGACTGGGAATGGCAGTATGTTGCTTCCAACGGTGATAATTACTGTCATACCCGCCTCCGGCTTGCTGAGCAAGCAAGCCAGAGAGCTCGGGTGCAAAGGCTCTGGCTTGCTTGCTCGCAACCAGAGGCCTCACGTCGCTGCTACCGTTCCAACAGCAGCAGTGACGATGCATTTAGTAGCAATGAACATGCATATAAGAGAAAAGAAAAGTAAAAGAAACAGAGAAAAGAAGAAAACACAACGACACGAGGGTAGGGATACAAAAACAAGTAGACAAGAAGGAAGCCCCTGTGCTCGCCTAGGAGCACATGAAGGCATGCATTTGGAAGTAAGAACTCACTCTTAAATATACCAACTACCCCCAAGCCTCGAGACCAACACCTACAACTACAAGACCTACAATCTCCAAGTGACCTACACTCTCCTGCGACCAACACTCTACAGCCCCAGTCATTACATTTGGTAGCACTTTCGGGGGAGAGGGCTCGTCGCTGTACGACTTCAACATCAAGACCAGGGGAGGCCTTTGATTCGGTTACGTGTCACATCCGTGTGATCATATCGAATTACGTGTTTGTGACTACGTGTTGCCTAAGGGTAATCAAGTCACTTCACAAGCTGACAGTTAGCACTAGCTGGTGGGTGATCGTGGTGTGTTATTACACATCTAGCCCCGGTGAAGGCTTTCTAGCTATAAGTAGTTACCGTTCTTCAATACTGCACTGCTATTAAATTTGAGCAAGTCTCAAACCAGCCGGTATAGTCAGTAGAGTTCTGGTTACCCTAGCAAGGCTAAACGTGTGTGGCCCATAGGGCTAGGGGATGACAAGGGCATCAAAAAAGGTCGTCAAAGACACGAAACTGATCGGCTCATTCCTGCGGCTTGCAGTGAAAGATCCTCGCCGCGCGGACAAAGCTCGTCACGACCTCTACAACTCTATATCCAAATCCAATCGGATTTTAGAGGCTTTGCGTAGAGACATAAAAAACGAACTTAGGAGAACGTCCGAAGGAAAAGAAGGCCATCCTCGCTGAATTGGAGGCCACCAAAAAGGAGCTGTTAAAGACGCAATATCGTGTTTCGGTGTCCGTGCAGACTCGTCTTCGAGAGATTGAGATCCCCGTCCCTGATTGGGTGGAAAAGGAGACCCAAGGCAAGAAACGTCAGCGTTCGACCTCTTCAACGTCATCGACCTCTTCAACGTCATCAAAGAAGGCCAAGACCTCAAAAAAGGAATAACCCCGCCAAATTAGGAAGTAGCATAGGCTATTTTCTTTAACAGGTTTTCTCTTTATTTTCTTTTAGTCATTGCCTCTAGAAATTAGTTTGTTCCAACCGGTATCAAGTATCAAGAACCAAGATTATCAGACATGGCAGACTCGGCCCAGCTTATGCACAGTATGCTAGCGGCCATGGAGAAGCAAACACAACTTATCGACGAGCTGCGTAAGTCAAGGCAGCTGTCGGAGCTCAAGCTGGATGGGATTAAATTGCTCAGCTACGGAGGAACACTCAAGGAATCATTTCAGTTATACCGGGAGCAAGTGGAACAGTACTTTTTAGCAAAGGGCATTGATTGGAAAGATAGTAAATTGAGAGGACGCATTTTGGCAGTGTTGGGCGGGTCGTTGAAGGATGGAGCCGCACAGTGGTACATCGTCAAGAAGGACGAGGTGCAGAGTGTTGAAGACTTCTTTGGCAAGTTGGAGGAAGAGTTTGTCCCTCCAGATTTGCAAGAACGTCTACAAGATCAGATGAACGATATTGAAGGAGCGTCATTGCAAGGACTTGCCTGATTATATCAGCAAGTTCAGGCACTTGATCACTCAAGTCAAGGAAATGAGTGAGCTGGACAAGATCATGTATTTCTTGCGTGGATTGTCGTCAAGTATCCGCGAAGAAGTCCAGTACCGTAGAAGTGCAACGTTGACCGACGCAATTACAGTAGCGCTCGATTATGATCGGTCTCACGCGCATCGAGGACGTTCGGATAGCGCCCGCGATAAACCAAGGTATCGGTCGTACGATAGCAAACGATCGAAGAATCAGAACGATGGACCAGTGCCGATGGAGATCGACAACGTAAGGGTGCCATCAAAGGAAGAGTGCATGCGCCGAAACTTATGTTTCAGGTGCGGTAGTGCCGCACATCGGGCTCGACAATGTCCGATGCAGCAGCAACAGACGTTTGGGGCCAGAAGGAATGCGCCGCGATACAACAACACGCGGTACAACAACGCGAATAATGGCCAACGTCGCGAAAAGCCGAGAATGAACATGGTTCTCGAAGATGACGACCAAGTGGATACCGTCGTCATGGATCGTGTAACGATGAATGTAGCTGACGTCAAAGACGAAGCAGATGAGCTACTGGAGACCGTAAAAGACATCCGAAAAAAGGTAGAAGAAACCTACAGCGCTACAGGAGAGACGTCAGAAGAGACTGGCTTGTGCGGAGCACCGCCAGTAGACGTCGCAGGTGTGCATGCGATGCAACCTGAAGCAAAGGCGGAAGAGCATGCGATGCAATCCGCAGAGGAGTTGAAAACGCCAGAATCGCGACCAACCGAGGTGACTATGAAAGTCAACGCTGTAAAGTCGGAACAGAAGTGTAATCTGTTTATCAAGAAAGGCCGTATCAACGGCAGGGATGTCCGAATCTTGCTGGACACAGGTGCTAGCACGAACATGATTAAGCCAGGGATGGCGAGTAACGTGCTACTGTCCAGAAGATTGCAGGCTCAACGCTTTGATGGTACATTGACTCCGGCCACGGATGTCAAGCACGTTGAAGCACCAGTGAGCATGGATGGTTATTTCTTTCCAGCGATGGAGTTCGTGGAATGGAAGTTGCCAGATTCTCATGATGTTATTTTTGGGAAACCCTGGTTTGAGGACTTGAATCCACAAATAAACTGGCAAACACACGAAGTTCAGATCCCAGAGAAGTTTCAGTTCAACGATGTTGATGGACCAGAATTCTCAGACAATATAAATCTGGAAAGTACGAACAAGTGTTCCGGGTTAAGGTTCAACTTGTAGCAGACGTCGAAGCAATCCCTGACCCTATTCGGAAGGTAGTTGTTGACGAGTTCAAGGATGTGTTCCCTGAACAATTGCCAGACGGTTTACCACCGTCGCGGTCAGTCGACTTTGAGATTACGCTAAAGAAAGGAGCTCAGCCGAGTAACCGCGCACCGTTCCGTATGTCAAAAATGGAACAGGAGGCGTTCGAAGAGTTTGTCAAGGACAAATTGAAGAAAGGATGGATCGAAGTATCGAATTCCCCGTGGGTTTCGAACATCTTTGCAATTCCGAAGAAGGATCCAGTAACAGGGATGATGCAAAAGAGAGCAGACTGGCTACGTAGTGGGAATACGAAGATTCCGCTACGATGGGTCTTTGATTACCGACACCTTAACCAAGTGACGGTTATTGCAAAGATTCCGCTGCCTTTGATCGAAGAGTTATTCGACCAAATGGTGGGATGTGTCGTTTACAGTTTGATCGATCTCGCGCAAGGGTATCATCAAATGATTGTGGTAAAATCAAGCCGACCCTACACAGCGTTCCGCACGCACAAGGAGACGTACCAATGGTGTGTAGCACCTATGGGAGTGGCAGGAATGCCAGGAACATGGTCACGTTTGATGCGTACACTGTTCGACAAGTTCGATTTTGTCGTCGTGTACTTGGATGATATCTGCATTTTTTCCAAGACTATGGAAGAGCATGTAGAGCATCTGCGTGCCGTCTGTGAAGTGTTGCGCCGAGAGAAACTGTACGCTCGTTTGTCTAAATGTTCGTTTGGACAGTCAGAAGGGGCATTCTTAGGACACGTGGTGTCTGAAGAAGGCGTAAGTGTAGACCCACGGAAGACTGAGGCAATTGCGAAATACCCAACCCCGACGAACAGAAAGGAGCTATTGAGCTTTCTGGGTTTAGCAGGGTATTATCGTCGATTTATATGCGATTTCGCAAAGATTGCGCGTCCGTTGAGGGAGTTAACAAAGCAAGACACACCGTGGTTGTGGTCTAAGAATGTGGAGGAAGCATACTTGCATCTCAAGGTTTCGCTGCAACAAGCATCTACGCTAAAGTTACCAGACTTTGGGCGACCGTTCATTGTAACAACAGATGCGTCTGGAGAGTGCATTGGAGGGGTTTTATCGCAGAAGTATGGCGATGAAGATCATCCAGTTGCGTTCTACTCGAAGAAGTTGGATCGACATGAAAGAGGCTGGCCGACGCATGAGAAAGAACTCCTAGCTATTAAAGTGGCTACGGAGAAGTGGAGACACTACCTACATGGCCGTCCGTTTGACGTGTATACGGACAATTCGGCATGTTCCTGGATGTTGCATCATCCACGAGTGTCACCAAAGATGGCTAGGTTCCTCACGCATTTCTCGCAGTTTACGTTCACGTTGCACCATGTTAGGGGCAAAGCGAATGTAGTTGCAGATGCACTATCCCGTCCTCCACCGGATGGACAGGATACGGAAAAGGATAAAGAACCGCCGTTACCTGATGTGACCTTTGAAGTCCATGACTGTGATGAAGAATGTGCCAAGATGGCATCACAGACTCATGATCATATGGTCCAAGCATCAATGATCCGTCATCTATCAGCCGATGATTTACACATGTTACTCGACGATGTCGATTTGCAGGGGGAGAGTCGTCCTATTGGTGTACCTCAGCAGCAAATCAACACTGTCGATTACCATTTCGTCTCATCTCACTTGGGACCAGAGACGAAGAAAGCGTTCCAACAAGGTTACGCGTCCGACCCTGTATTCAAGCAACAGTGACAGACACTGAGAAGTTCGTAAAGCATAATGATCTTCTGTTCTTCAAACAGAAGCAAGGAGAATCTGTCTACAGATTGTGTGTGCCCAAATCCGAGAAGCTTCGCACGGATGTCATCACAGAGTTTCACGATGGAAATACATCCGCGCATCCGGGAAGCAGGCGGACGTATCTAAAAGCAGCACAATGGTACTATTGGCCAACGATGGATCAAGATATCAGAGAGTATGTGCGTACTTGTGAAACGTGCGCACGATGTGAGTCCAGCAGTCAGAGAAAGAAGGGTCTGCTGATACCAATTCCAGCACCATTGGAATGTTGGGAAGTGGTGTCCATGGACTTTATTACGGGTTTACCAGCGTCAGAAGGGTACGATGCTATTTTCGTTGCTGTAGACAAGTTGTCTAAGCGTCCGAAATATGCACCGACCTATACGACTGCTGATGCGAAGGATACAGCGGAAGTTTTCTTTAATGCTGTTGTCAGGCACCATGGATTACCGCAAGTGATTATTAGTGATCGAGATCCAAAATTTATCTCGGATTCTTGGAAGTCACTAATGACACTGATGGGTGTCAAACTGAGTATGACTACGGCTCATCGAGCTCAAGCCGATGGCCAGACAGAGCGTCAGAACCTAGTGCTCGAAGATGCGCTGAGATGCATGGTGTCATATCATGGAGATGATTGGGTGAAGCATCTCGGAACGATTGAGTATGCTCATTCAACATTGGTAAACGCGTCGACTAAATTGACTCCATTTGAAGTCGACACAGGCCGCAAAGTTTCTAACGTTGTGGCAGAAGAGATGAAGGATTTATTGCGTAAAGAAGACGACGTCACACTGGCCGAGTACGCAAAGAACTTTGCTAAGGAACGACAGGAGATCGTAGAACGTGCCTCGAAGAATTTGAAAGAAGCACAAGACAGACAGAAGGAGTACTATGATCGCAAACGCAGGCAAGTGGTGTTCAAAGAAGGTGACCTAGTGTTACTTGATACGAAGAATTTACCACTCAAGACCGTCAACAAGAACACGGAGCTAAAGAAGGCGAAGTTAGCTGCGAAGAAAGTCGGTCCGTTCGAGATTGAACGGATGATAAATGACAACGTGGCAAAGCTGAAACTACCGTTGTCAATGAAGAGACTCAATACGACGTTTAACGTGGAATTGTTGTCTCATTATCTGACGAACACTACTGACTTTCCCAATCGCCCGATTCCGAAAGCTGTACCATTGATCTTGGACGACGACACGGGAGAAGAGCTCTATATTATCGAGCGTCTTATCAAGAGAAGGACCAGACGCCACAAGCGAGAATGGCTCGTGCAGTGGCACGGGTTGCCAAGACATGAGGCAACCTGGGAGTGCGAAGCGGATATCAAACACGTTTCGCATTGGCGTCAACTCCTGGGAGGGTTTAAATTCCGCCAAGGCGAGATCAGCCCGGGGGAGATGTCATAGCCGCCTCCGGCTTGCTGAGCAAGCAAGCCAGAGAGCTCGGGTGCAAAGGCTCTGGCTTGCTTGCTCGCAACCAGAGGCCTCACGTCGCTGCTACCGTTGCCTTCAAGGCCAACAGCAGCAGTGACGATGCATTTAGTAGCAATGAACATGCATATAAGAGAAAAGAAAAGTAAAAGAAACAGAGAAAAGAAGAAAACACAAAGACACGAGGGTAGGGATACAAAAACAAGTAGACAAGAAGGAAGCCCCGGTGCTCGCCTAGGAGCACATGAAGGCATGCATTTGGAAGTAAGAACTCACTCTTAAATATACCAACTACTCCCAAGCCTCGAGACCAACACCTACAACTACAAGACCTACAATCTCCAAGTGACCTACACTCTCCTGCGACCAACACTCTACAGCCCCAGTCATTACAATTACGATGCCTATCCGTGGGGACCTGAATTTGACAGTTCGAAGGTGCTCACGGTGTATCATGGCAAGGAGTTGCCCAAGTTGGATCCTGTGGGCTCGTACGAGAACTCTCACTCGACGAAGTTCCAAGTGGAAGATCTTGTGGGCTACGTGTGGCAGATGACAGATCAGTTTTGTGACTCTCACACGTGTGGATATTCTCCTCCGAGGAGAAAGCAGCTATCACCCCCATCTCGGCTACGCATAGCGACCCTTACTGGTACTTCCCTTAAGCTCTAGACGCACAGCATCATAGCCGCTTCCTAGTGATCAGTGAAGGCTACGATCGCTCCCTCATGGTGGTTTTTCGCTGTGCGAGAAGCATCGCCCCTCCTCGCGAAGGGTTAACCCTTTTGGGCACCCTTTAGCTACTGAGCCTTTGATGCAGAGTGAGCCACATACAAAAAGAGAGAAATGATTATTAATCAGTTATATTAGGGCTGACTTTATACTGTAGTATCTGAGAAGAAAAAAAACTGTTAAGTTCGCTTTGGTAAAGTTCGGATTTACTTAATCTTTTCTCCCCATCGGTAGGATAGGTAGGGATGGTGGGCGTACAGGTAGCATCAACTTTAAAACTAAAGCTTGGTCACACAAGGAACTGACATTAAAAATGAAACGGACCCTAAATAGGGCATTTCTTTCCGCTCTCAATTTGCCAAAGAGAAGATGACAAAAATACAGGTTGGAAATCGCGTATTTTGCCGACTTCCCACGTAAGGCAGGCAAACGAATGCAGCGTCAGTGCAATCTATGCCACAAGAAGTGCTCTTACTACTGCGATGGATGCTCCGATCTACAATTGCAGTCGTTTTTCGGTGTGTGCGGCCCGAGATCGCAGCGCACGAGCACATTGCTCTACCTTCAATTTGACCTTTTTTCACATACATATGGTTCTTAATACAAACTTTTTATATATAAACTAATTTATGCACGCCTGCTACATGAACATGTACATGTAGTAGGAATCCAGTGGCATGGGTACAATCCTACTGTAGGATTGTACCCATGCTACTGGTAGGCTATCAACCTGGGGAAAAAATAGTAAGTAATTCTTCTTCTTACGAGCACGAATTTATTTGCGATTCTTCTCATTACATTATCGCTGCATAGCCAGTCGCGTTTCGCTTGTTTTTAGATAGTACCGCTTTTTTTTGAGCGGCTTTGATTCGCTCTTTGTTAAGTTTGTATTGTTCAGGTGAGTGCGTCATCTTTGTACAGTTATTACTAAATTTATATTTATCAGGAATACAATATTATAATAGAAGGCAAAGCTCCGCATTCATTACTTTTTATGCCTACTTCGAAGCGTATTACTATTATAAGCTACATATCGCTTGCACCCCTGCGGTCTTACGGCGAGCAGTATGCCACGCTTATCCACCACTCCGGCATCCTTTGCCGCATTAAGCTTGTCGCTAGCTCTCTGCAATCCTCCAAACTTGAAAATCACCACGACTACCGACCTAAACACGTGTGGACCACATCGTGTAATTTCTCGTCAACAAAGCAAGAGCAGCAAAGCAACCAGTGAAAAAGAGCAGCGATGGCGGACAAGCAAAAACCCCACGAAGACGTCCTTACGCGACTCGTGCACGACTTGGAAACGAAGACGACTTTGTGCCACGTCAAGGACTATCCTGGAGTGGGGCTGAAGCAGTTAAATCATCACGCGAAGAAGCTCGGTCCACTGGTGAACCCCGTTTTTGGCGAGCAGCCGGCGTTCTTCATCGACGAAGGCCGCTTCTGTCCCTATCGAATCGTCGTGTATGGCAATGAGAAGGTGGCGGCCAAGATCGCAGAGCTCCTCGGAAATTGGGCAAAGTGGTCTGGAGTAGGAGGCAGAGTGACAACCTCGCAAGGGGCGTTCATTCTGGAGCAGCGTCCCCCAAAGCCCAACGTGAGAATGCCCGACGTGGCATACACACCGCGAGATGATGACAGGAATTTGACTCGTGAGCAGATGTGGACGTATCGTGGTGATCCCTATGCCCCCATCTTTGTTATTGAGATTGATGAGCTCTCTGGTCGAGGCTCTAAACTCAGCGCTCTTGATCGAAAGATGCGAAATGATTATTTCAAGCACGGCGTCCAGTTGGGTTGGCTGATCGACCCACGCCCAGACGTTCAGCTGATGTATGAGTACTATCTCGACGACGATGGAGGCGTACAACGCTCTAACAACAGTGCGTGGAGAGATCTTGACGGTGGTGATGTGCTTCCTGGTTTCAAGATACGCGCACCTGTGTTGGAAATGGTCTTGAACCAGGATTCGGGTTCGTCGTCAGAAGATGAAGTTGATCTGCTGTGTCCCGCTCCACGATGCAACAAGCGATTCCGATCGTATGGTGCATGCGCTGCTCATGTCGAATGGCACCGTAAGGAGAGATCTATCTCGAAGTACTTAGCCAAGCGTGAGAACTCATAGTTATCAAGTGTGAACTCATAGCCATCCAGTGTGGCAACTACGCTTCGACAAGTTCCTATCTAAACATATCGCAGAACTCAAAGCTTGCAATCTAAAGCATAGTTGGCGGCGCTGACTGATTTCTTGGTGGCTAAGAGAAGATAATAAACAACTATCTATTGTTTTAAACATATAGTTTGAATGTTGTCGGTCGAAAAGACGTTGCTTTCGCTATCTTGGTGGTAAATTACGGTAAGGAAAAACAAACTGCGGTGCAATGTTCCGTTACCCACTACTTCCGTTAGGGTCGTGATGTCGGCGATGTACATGCGTACCATTTATTCCAGTCCAGACTCGTCACGAGTTCCAATATCCCATGGATTGTACGGGATGATCACACGGACACCTCGACGATGGAAGTCAGCGATGACGCCCTTGACGCCCTCGACTCCACCGGGAAGGTCTCGTAGGAGATCCCATTGGTTCCGGTTGTCCACACCGATGTTCGGGTATGCAGGCCAGATCAACACACTGTCAATGGGGCCAACACGACTCTGCATCTCATCCACGTACTTGTCCACCGTGTATTGCTGGGTCTCGCGATCGTAGATGGAGCGGTCGTTCATCATAAGAAACGTCTGCACGGAATTCTGCTGCGTCCATTGAGTTTGCTAGATGTTGTACACGTTGAACGAGTCGTTCGGGTTGTACCGGTTGGTGATCAGCTCCATTTTCTTCCAGGCGGTCCAGTTACGACGCCATGCGTCCACGGACTCGGGGCCATCGGGACCGTCGATCACCTCGTAGCCGTCGGGTTTTTGATCCCAAGCGAGTGTTTGGCCGAATAGGCAGCAGGCCGCGGACAAATAAAGTCCGGTTAGAGCGCGCATGGAGGGTTCGATGTGCGCGCGACGCAGGAGCCTGAGGAATGACGCTTCGATTGGGAGGAGCCCTACTCAAAGACCGTCAAACGTAGCGCTGCACAGACACGGAGCTAATCTGATTTGACATATTGAACGCAAGTCTCAGCACCTGCACATCAAATCTCCGTCTGGAACAAGGACAGCTTGCGCTGCAAGTTGTAGCGCGATCCAAGCTTCTCTTCCCGCTATATACAGGAGCGGGCTTGAAGTCCGCAAATAGATGCACTACGTAGGCGCAGAAATCCAGATCGAAGGTGGAGATGCACTCCCGCTTAAAGCCTTGGTCGGCAGAGTCATTTACACGATAACGCAAGCCAGACAAGCATCGGTCGAGAGTGCGTATGATGAGAGGTCAGCACGGGTACTGTATATGTAGTTAAATCGGGTGCCTAATGAATTTGATACGTCACTCTGTGAACGACGAAACATGGATTTGAGTTTTTACGAGAACTGCAAACTATTCTAATAGTAATAAATATTACTTTTAACCCCCCCCGTTACGAGAGCAAATCTTGAATGCACAGACTATTTTTCACATGCTAGATATCAAGCATGTTAAAAAAAGTCTTAACGTAAAATTTATATAGAAAAAAAGATCGGTGTCTGTACATTTGTACAAGATCCTGCAATCATACGTATTATGGACCCACATGCTTTATATCCAGCATGGCGAGCAGATTCCGTAAAGCCCATACGCGACATCGTGCATGTGCAAATGGCTGTTTTATTGGGAATGAATCGTTTTTGACGGAGTCACGTGCAGAACGGCTACGAAAGCAAATTTGTGTATTGCATCTGTTTGCTAAAAGCAAGTCATTTGGACTATTACTTACGCAGCTTCACGGTTTCCTACTCTTGGTGTTCTCTCTCTACCGCGTCGTCACCCCCAGTTTCCGTTGTCTCATTCTGATCACTATCAAAATTTTCACCACCATCACTTCCCTCATTGCCGAGCCCTGCGGCCTCCTCCTCGTCCCCGCCGTCCTTCTCCTCTTCACGACCCCCCTGTCCTTCTGTCCGCTTTTTTGGTGGGGCCCTCAGCTGGATACCGCGGCCGTGGCGCGGCTGTGGGCGCTCGCTTCCATTGCGCCAGAGTTGGTACCAAATGGAGAAGCAAGTCTGGTTGATACTAGGGTAATGTGCTTGGCGCACCTTGTCACACAAGTAGACACTGCATTATACGTGTTAAATACCAGTAGTAAGAGCAATAGAGCATGGCAACGTACCGTTTGGAGCCTTTACTGCAACCGGGACAGTAGAATCGCGTCACCTGCCGCTGTGTACTGCTTGTTTTCCGTATAGTACAGACCTTGCACTGCCGTTGACGCCGCTTTCGAATTCCATTCACCTCCACCCACTCGTCGTCCATCTTAAGCTGGTGGGTGGACGGTGGAACGTCGCCATGCAATGGTGTAACTGGTCTAGGTGAGTACATATTTGGACACATACAGTAATAGTTAGCAATTTGAGCAACCGGCAGAATAAGCACCTTCCTTACCGTGTCTGCTCATTCGACCGACCCTACTTGTAGTAGCTGGGCTTGCAACTGAGCGATGAAGTCGGTTAGTTTGAATGGTCCCCACAGAATAGACGTTCGTCTCAAGAAGTTGTAGCGAACTTTGTATCTATTAGATTTGACAAATCAGGCCCTTCTACGGTGCGCCAATTGTCAATGATGTCCTTCCAGCGTTCGGCATCCCCTTTACTTCGTGGAGGTCGCTGTCCCCCGCGACGGTTTGTTGTAGAAGCTGCGCTTGCCGCAGGTGTAGAGCTCAGTGAATCGCCAGTTTGAGGTGCATCTAGTGGCAGTTCATCACTCGTCTCCGTGTCGCTCTCGCTTGGGATCTCATCATCCACACCAGCTCCAAAAATATCCGTGTCATCGTACCATTTAGCTGACCCAGTATCAAAATCATCGTAATCCGAATCTAATGCACCACCATCATAGATGGTATCATCTTGACGGGAAACTTGACGGGAATAGAGAGGAGGCGGGGTCGTGGGAACCGTAGTTGCGTGAATAACAGTAGCCATATTCAGTGACCTTGCAAAATCAGCAGTAATATACAGCATGCTATCAGAAATAAATCTCGCACACGCTTGATATCCATCATGTGATAGCGTACCTGGCAGCCGAAGATCGAGGTGGTGTTAGCGGTGAAGTCTGTTGCGCAGAGGAAACACCTTCCGATGTCGACATGGGTCCACGATGTGCCTGCGTTGTGTTTGTTGCACATGGTGGAGATGGCGACGTGTTGCTATAGTCCAAATAGCCACCAACAGACGCATCGCTACAGACAATTACGAACATGAAGTGGGAGAAACACATCGTGCTCAAAATGCATAATCTCCTCACCTGACGGCTTCTTCATCAGCAGCAACGTGTGGGCTTGTCGTCCGCGCAGATTTGTCAGCTCTTGAGCTCTTAGATGGTGCGCGCTTACGCTTACCTTTTGCTTTGGCCTTGTCAGGCGCCTTTGCCGGTGTTTTCTTCTTCGCCGCCTTCATCAGTGTCGTGATCTCTGCCGCTGTTGCCGTGTCAAACGCAGCGTCGTCATTTCCTTGGTCTTCTCCCGTTTCCACGTAATCTTCGTCTCCGCTCTCACACCCATCCTCATCAGCAGAATCAGCATCGGCAGCAAGCTTTTCTGCATACAGTGCTGCGACTGGCGCCTTCTTTTTTCAGTCGCGGCGCTCTTGCCAGCAAATTGTAATACCCCACTAGTGCGCCCTTCTTCTGGTACGTAGCTGGAGCAGGAGGCTTGGATGAAGCCACTGTCATCCTAGGCCGCCTTCCTGTCGTTGCTGACGTAGGAGGTGAAACAAGCTGTTCATCCGCAACTTCGTCGCCAAAGTCAGCATTGCGGTCACGCGTACCGTCGACATACGCACGGTGCTCTTCAAGCAGGCGGGCGCGTTCTGCGCCTTCCTTTCCCTCGAGACGACGCAGAAACGCCTCCGCTTCAGCGCGCGTGACGCGGCGGGGAGGCATCTTGGTCCCGCGTTTCTTTTTGGAGAATGAATGGATGGCTCAGAGGCTTCTCATTTGAAGCACTGTCTTTACGACAGGGTATCACCAAGGAACTTTCTCTTTACAGCTAGGATCCCAAGCCGTGTACATTAGGGACTAACCGGCCTAAACGCTCATTCTATGACGATCCCCACATGCTAGTTTATCAAGCCTAAGTGACGGGGGGGGTAAGTATATGTAAGTCAAAAAGGGTTAATACTGCTCTGTGGTATAAATCTTGGATGAAGTTGTGGTGGATGTAGATTTGAACTCATTTATAGCAACTGTCCCGTACCCGGGAATGCAGGGGGCGTTCCAGCCGCGTGCACCAGATGCGAAGAAGGTAACGTCCGTGTTAAAGCACACGGGGTCCTACTGTATCAAGTGGGAACTGTTCAAGCGCCGACTCAACTTCATAGACGGATGAACCGATCTATATACGGTCTTGAGTATCGAGTCAACCGGGTGTCACGTTGGGTTGGAAGTCATGCCCAGGAGTACAGGTGAGCGTAGGAGAAGGGGGGTCATCCTCATGAGCGCGATCGACCCTTTCCCCGTTTTAGCCCGGCGCATTAGTTTCTCAGTCGTATATTTCCCAACCTACTACAAAGAACAAGGAACCAATTTTACTTTTCACGGTTTACTTCTCGTTACCGTTCTACAACTACATCCCGCTCTTCGCTCGCCCCACGCAAGGCCCCGCTCTACAAACAGCCGCGGACTGTCCGACCCTGGTTAGAAGCGCGGCCGGAGGCGCCGCGCGAAGGTGTGTGTGCGACATTTGGTGAAGAAGCAGGGTAGTCTGCTTACTGGAGAAGGTGTTGTCTGGTGAGAGTTGAAGGAGCTACGAACACTAAGATGGAAGATCCGAGGTGGACCCAGCGCCGTTGGGGCTGGGGGTCCGAGAAGTCTCAGCCGTCAATGAGCTGGTGGAACAGTCCTGAATGCGTGTTTCAAGGCGACAACACGGGGACGGTGCCATCCGTCGTACCGTGGGAGTTCTATCGTCGATGTGGTCACGATGCCTGATGGCAGCGTCCATGTAATTCTCCCACACTATTTGTATTCGTCGCTTGCTGTATGCGGTG